AGTCATTTACAAATAATAATTATTTATCCATTTACTTTTCATATATATCCTGCTATAAGTTAAAAAATCCACTGCTACCACTCCCTTATCTCTTATATTTTTCCTCTTCTCTTCCCTCTCCTTTATATTGTGTTTTCTTTCTTCTTTTTACCATCCATTCTTCTTCCTCTTCAGTATTCAGCTCTGATGCTAGTCATTTTTCAGTAGGGATGGCAATGGGGCGGGTTTGTCTAAACCATCCTCATCCCCATCTTCAAATATCCAAACCTATACCCGTCCCCCATACCCATGCGGGAGAATGTTTGGCAAACCCATCCCCATACCCGTGGGTTTCGTGTACCCATGGGTAATAACCGTACCCGTACATCCAACATTATTATCCTAAAATTTACCAGAAAAGTTTTAACTACAACTCTAAACCTACCTATTATATCACGAATTCAACAAAACATGATCATTTTCTTAATACGATTCAAAGAATATGATCCTAAAACATTTATTAATACATAATATAGAGTAATATTTTTCAAATTATTATGTTCTAACTCTGATACATCTACTAAGTAATAATTAACTAACATAATCTTGTTGACAAAGGGGAAAGTGAAAGAGTGAAAGGAGAATTGAGGGAAATGAATTAGGTTTTGATTAAGGTGGTCACTCAATTGCATTTCTACTATTTATTTCCTTGAGTACCATTGATAGATTACAATTTGATCCACAAGTTTTTGTATATGTGAAGAAATTCTCTTGGTGGGGCGGATATGGGTATGGGTATGGGGCGGGGGAGGCTAAAACCATACCCGCCCCATACCCATCAAACTTTTTGCGGGTTTTACCCATACCCGCCCCATACCCGGTCAAAGCGGGGATTACCCGCGTTGACTGGGTCGGGGGCGGTCGGATACCCGCGGCCATGGGTTTGATTGCCATCCCTATTTTTCGGCAACGACAACCCCGAACTTCCTCATTAAACTACATCTCCTCATTGTCGTCACCTCTGCGCTCTTGGGTTTCTCTCCAACCCATTAATTATTTTGCTCTTTCGACCGAGTACTAGAAACCCGTCATCTTCTTTCATTCATCTCCACTCGCAAACCCTTATAATATCTACGTTTCTCAAATGTCTACATCTGAACAAATCACTCGTTTTATAAAATATCTCATACCGAACAAAGAAACAACGATAATATTGTGCAATTACTCATTTCCTTACTATTAAACCCTACTTGCTAGTTGAAAGAAAAATGAATGGGTAAATGTCACATTTGGTCACTAGGATTACTAAATCGTGTTATGTTTAGTCACTAGAAAAATTAATATCAATTTTGGTCACTCGAATTATTAAAATATGTAACATTTAGTCACTCGAATTACTTTTTTTTTTATGAATGTCACTCGAAGTAATGTAACATGTCACATTTAGTCACTCTCCGTGAGCCTCCGTCCAACTCCGCTAATGGAGTTGGATGGAAACTAACAGGAAAGTGACTAAATGTGACATGTTTAAGTAATTCGAGTGACCAAAATTGATATTAATTTTTTCTAGCTACTAAACATTAAATAATTTAGTAATCTCAGTAATCAAATATCATATTTACTCAAAATGAATGAAAGTAAGGTGGAGAGAGGAAAATGTACGCAGCTATGCAATAGTCTGTTAACTTCCTCGTTAAGTTGCCTTTATGATCATTTTGAAAAATACAAGTATCCCATCAACTCAAACCCCAGGTTTATAAAACCGAGGCTTCACTCTCACTCTCACTCTCTCTCTCTCGTCTCAACTTCGTCTCACCGGCGCTGTTAATTTTTCCTTTGCTTTTCCGTTCTTGTTTCAAATCTAGAGGCGCCGGCGGCTACTCCCAACATTTTGAAACCCCCCGATCGAACCCATGTGGAATCCAGAGGCGCCGCCGGCCTATTTCCCGCAGCCGGCGCTCCCCACGGTGGTCGCCAACCAACCGGCGGCAGCCACCATGCTCATCTACTTTCCATACTGCCAGCCGCCGCCGACGTTGTACTATGACAACTACACCAGATGCTACTACTGTTGCCCTCCATCCAACCTCCTCCTCCTACCGCCACCGCCGCAGCAAGACGTGGATTATGCGGCTCCGGCCGCCATAGCTGCGGCGGCACCACCACCGTCAGCTCTACCGGATGCTAGTTCGCCTCTTGACGGTCCGCTACTCCCAAATGGAGAAGAGACAACCGTTATGATCAAGAATATCCCCAATCGCTACAAGTAAGTACGTTTCGTTTGTTTTTCATTACTACTATTCGCTATTCATGCATGTGTGTGATCAGTTCACCATATATAGTTGCCATGTGTTTATTATTCAATCTGGAAGTCTCAGGTTCGAATCCGTTATATAGACACATAATACGATGATGTTATTTCTGATTTGGGTAAATTGCAAGTTTGGTCACTTGAATTACTAAAAAAATTTACGTTTGCCACTCAAATTAGTTTATTCCATTCATAGTCACTAAAATTAGTTCAATAGTTCAAGTTTGGTCACTCTCCGTTAGTCTCCATTAACTTTCGCTGATGTGGCAGTCAACTCTAATAGTTGACTGTTAAATGTGTGACGTGGCATTAAAAAATTATTAAAAAATAAATTTTATTTTATTTTATAATTTCCACTTCATTTTCAAAATTAATAAAAAATTAAAATTCTACCGGAGTCCTCCATCGAGAGCTTACCAGGAGCGAGAGAGAGAGAGAGCACAGAATCGAAGTTGTATGAATAGAGTCCGGAGAAGAAATGGAAACCCTACTCGCCGGTCATCATCCGGCGCTCGCTCAGAAGCCGTGGGCTGCAGCCGGAGGGCGTAAACGACGTCTCCGACGATCCTCCTTGCGAAACCCTTGAAATTTCCAGTCAGGAGAAGAGCTCCCCTCGTGTATTAGGTCCCCAGAGCATAACCGACGCCCATGATGATGCTAGATCTAACCGGAAGATGGTTGCAACGCTGTTATCCATCGATACAAAATCCTAAGTGTGTCGATCAGTCAAGGAGGAACACGCCTTAGGAGATGCGGCGGAGAAGGAGGATATCAAACTCAGGGATTCGTTCGATTTGTAGAGTTTCAAAACTGAGGTTTGATGTGGGATTCGTTCAATTCGTAGAGTCAAAACAGTGGGATTTTTAATTCCTTCTGCGCAGAAGGAGGCGGCGTCCACCTCGATCCGTGGGTAAAACCATGATCCTTAACTCTGAATCCTTTAATTTTCTCTTGCCGGCGCCAGTGACCAAGCTGCACTACTTCCGCCTCGGCCGCCTGAACCCGCCGCCGCTGTCATTAATCGAGAACGAACATTAATGGATTGGTCTGGACATTTCGCCATCCATGCTTGGTATGTGTTGCTTGTCTTATTGGTTCTGATGATTATAGAGTTGGTATGCTTTTATATGCAGAAAGGTTTGAGTCTTTTTGTCTCAAGTATTGTAGACATTGCAACGGAAAGAGAGATTGAAGGAGATGTACACGACATGGGCAGCTATGCCCTTTGGTGAATCTGAAGCTCTATCCATGGTTAGATTCGAGCTTCCCGCTCGCAGATGTGGAATCGGAGAAGGCGGTGGCGCTCGACGCCGAGCTCAAAGGGAAGTCGACCGGAAAATATAATTATAATTATAATTTTATTTATATTTGATTTATTGTGCTAAACAGTTGGAAATTATAAAAAGTTTAAATTTTATTTTTTAATAATTTTTTAATTGCCACATCACACATTTAACGGTCAACTATTAGAGTTGACTGCCACATCAGCGAAAGTTAACGGAGACTAACGGAGAGTGACCAAACTTGAACTGTTGAACTAATTTTAGTGACCATGAATGGAATAAACTAATTTGAGTGGCAAACGTAAAAACTTTTAGTAATTCGAATGACTAAACTTGCAATTTAGCCTTTCTGATTTGTTCTCGATCGTGTTATGGCGAATGTGGGCAGCCGGAGGATGTTGATGGAGTACTTCGACGGTCATTGCCTGCTCCAAAACCAGAAATGCATGGGGAATGAACAGAGCTGCTACTCGGCATATGATTTCCTCTACCTTCCAATTGATTTTGGGTAATTACTTCCAGCAGCCTTTGTTTCACGTTTTTTTACATAAATATTCACACAACATTATAAATATCATATTCTCTACAATGAATAGTTGAAGTATATAGTGTGACTATTAAACTATGTAATGTGAATATCATCAATGAAAGAATTTGTCAAAACGTTTGATATTCATCTTATTAGATTGAACAAATATTCTAAGATTATACTAGCTATAAAAAAAAGTGTAAGGACCATTGAACGAAAATAGTGTAAACACCATATTCGGAGTGCTAATAAGTTGAATAAATATTCCAGTAAGAAACTCAATAGTTAAAACTTTAGGCATCATCAATTCATATGTTTGAGCCACCAATCACCGTTTGTTAAAACATAGACAAATTAATAATTAGCCCTTCTAATATCACGTTTTAAAAGTTAAAAACTTACGCTTTTACATTTCTAGGTAATCAAAACACTTTTACGTAGAATCATGTTTTTCACTTACAATTATAGTTAAAATCTACCCTTTAAAGTTTAAATGTTACGTTTTTTACACTTTTAATAATTGCACAAGTCTAAACAAGAGGAATTTTACAATGCTATATAGTATTGGTGCTATAGATTTTTGCCTTTATGGTACAACTTGAAATTGTACATTTAACGTTATGGTACAACTTTAGATTATACCTATACTGTTTGTACAAATTCTTTTGTGGTACAGCTTAAACTTGTACCTTTATGTGATGGTACAACTTCAAGTTGTAAAGTTGTACCATAACATAATGGTACAAATTCTTTTATGGTACAATCTAAACTTATAAATTTAATGTTATGGTACAACTTTAAGTTGTACATTAAAACACCAATACTATATAGTATAGTAGAAATGCTCGTCTAAACAATCGGCTAACGTTCCAACAATTGAATAAACAGGAGAAAGGCAAACAAAGGTTACGCGTTCGTCAACTTCACGAGCCCAACGGCGGCCTGGAACTTCTACCTCACCGCCGACAACCAGCGGTGGTCTCATTGCAGATCCCGTAAGCTGGCCACGATCGTGAGCGCCAAATTACAGGGGCTCAACCAGCTGCTCGCTCATTTCGAACCCACCGTTTTCCCCTGCCACTCCGACGACTTTCTGCCCGTCCGCTTCGATCCACCACGGGACGGCTCCAACAAAGATATGGTGAAACAGTGGACGGTAGGGAGGCTCCGCTTCTGACAAACAGCAAAAAATCGTTAGTTCTATGGCTATTTATATGCTTTAGTTTCTTCTTAGCTTTCATTTTGCCTGTTTAGTATATATGCATATGTATGTGATCGACTACTAGTACCGTAGGTAACTAGCTTGGCTGTGTAAGATGAGCGCCATTATGGACGTGTCTTCCAACAAACAAGCTTCTGTTTGATATTAACGTTGGCAATTTAACTTTTTTGAACAATTATTAACCTCATGGAGTTCGAGCATGGGATTTTGATGTATTCATGGTATTGTGTGGTATCTTTTTCGTTTTAACTCGGATTTTAATTTTTTTCCACAGATGGAACGAGTTCATTGTGCTCTACAAAATGAGATCAATTTTCAATATTTTTTGAGGAAAAAAAAATTCTGGTCTCTCGGTACCAACTGCATACCATATGGTATCTTCTTCGTTTTTAATTCGTTTTTGAAAACGTTTGCACAGCAGGGACGAGTTCATCATGATCTATTGGATCTACAAATTTCTGGGTGAACAAATTACAAGACCAAAAAATACCACACAATACCATACAATACCACCCTGGTACGGGGTGGTATCTTATGGTATCTTATGGTATACAATGTTAAAAGTCGTAAATGACAATTAATATAATTCTACTATCATGTATTCAACCATCCTACAGTTTTGGTTTGTGTCATACCACCATGGTACGCTTTTCAAACCATAGGTATGCTCTTATTTCAATACCAGTCAATACCATATGGTATAGACTGGTAAAAAATGTCTCAATTTTTTTTGTTCAAAAAATATATAAAAGTGGATATCATTTTGAAGAACACAATTAATCTGATCTAACTGTGCAAAAAATATTAAATTTCGACTTAGAACGAGTGAGAAACCGTCCGTCAAAGATTAAGGAAGGGAAAATTAAAGGTTTTTCAGGAGAGAGAGGATGCTGATGTGGGTAGGTTACTCATAGTTACTGACCATAAGGTTACTGACCTGATCCGTTCCCAGAAAAGGGTAAACTTGACATGTAGCTAGAAAGTTGGTTTTGGGAACTTTTTTTTCCAAATCTTGTGTAAAGTCTTTGCACATCCGCTCCTCATATTGCATTGGTGCTGGTTGTCAATAACCAGTTGATTCCAATAACTCCAATTATTGTGAAAGGTTCAATTATGGATCATATATTATTTACTGACACACCTCCTCAAACGAAAGCTACCATATATGGGGTTGAAACTTGCACAGCTTCGGACACCTTGTGCTTCACAAAACATATGAGGCTTATCGAGATTCCAAAATAAGACATCTCGGTCACAAAAGGCTCTGTTACCATGTCAAGAACAATTGGTTTTCAATAACTCGAGTTGTTGGGAAATGTTCAATTATGGATATGATATACCATTTATCAAGATTTGTAACTTGCTTCATTCTCTGTATAACACACCCTTGCTACCATGTAAACCACTTGATACCTAAATGGTTTGAAGACTTCACAACGAAGGGAATTGAACAAACTAGGCTGCCCAAATTGAGTGTGAATGAAAAGAAAGAATTAGCTTGTAACATCCCGAACCTTTTCCCAACGAAAATATTGTCCGTTTTGTCCTTGATTCTCACGGTTTTTGGCTAGTGTTGCAATTCAAGGGGAGCACGTTTAATTTCGGAGTTCTCACAAGAACTCTTCCATTTCAGCCCAAAACGCATCTTGTCGGTTAAAATCAATTTCTTACTTATGAACCATGGATCTCTCCTGTACTTTATCGATGTAAGATTTGCCTATGGTGTTACATGACTTCTCACACCCATGGGTTGGAGAATAAGCTCAAGTCGCAGTTCGTTGGCTAGTCAGGTGTCACAGTAAATGTTGCCACTACTTTCGCCGAGACCCTTGAAGCCAACGAACTCCACAAGGTAATCCAAAAAAGAACCCCTCTTTCATTTACGGTCGTTGATTTACTTCTTTGCTCTACTTTTATGCCATCAACAGTATAATTTATAGCTGAAAAGTAAAACTGCAACCCCCATTCAAATTTTCCTGTGCATAGAGTGATTTTAGGAGTCTGACGTGGCAGGTTGGTTATGCGGGATTAAATTAGAAATCCCCGCCTGACAGGAGAGATAAGAAACCGTCGGTTCCCACTACTTTTTTTTGCGGCTGAAATCATCTTCCATTTTCTCCTGGGTTATCTACGTTTTGCTTTCTCCTTCCCGTAGCACGGCAGGAGATCCATTTCTCAGCGGACAATTTTGGGAACAGGGACTGATGTGGAGTTCACCGTGCCGAGATTCTGCAGTTTGGAACGAGCGGCGAAAACCTGATTGAGCGAGGAAGACCTGCGGCTAATTGACGGTGAATTCCCCAGCCAACCGGCGAATCGAAGGTGAGTCATGATTTGTGGTATTTGTTTACCCCCGCTGATTCGAACAATCGGATTTGGTAGTTATGTGGTGAACAATTCTCCAGCCAACCGCCGATTTGAAGGGGAGGCGAGATTGTTTCGGTTAGTTTGCTCCCGCTGCTTCTCTCAATCCAGATTATGTAGTTCTGCGTTGAACCCTTGCCAGCCAACCGACGATTTGAAGGGGAGTCAGTAATTTTTTCTGTTTGTTTGCCCCCGTTGCTTCGCGCTGTCAGATTTGTTAGTCTGATATATATGCATTTGGGGGAAGCCCGCAATTCCTCTATTCGCAATTGGATTTGGTAGTCTGATCTGCATATTACCTATTACTGTTTCCATCATTTACTTCGCTTATATTTAGTTTTATCTGATTGAGTTTCCATGTGTACCCAGCTAATTTGATAGGCCTTCCTGTACCTCCTGTGTCCTTATTGCAGCTTAGAAGGAGACCACGTTTTCGGCAAATTCGGCGTCTATAAGCCCCTCGAAGCCAAGGAAAACAGGGGAAACCAGGGGAGCCGAGTTCCAAAGAAGGCATAAATAATTGAGCTCTGGTTTAGATCCCAGCTGCAACTGGTAGGTTCTCGCTCTCTTTCATTGATATCCCATTTCAGTCTCCTTTCAGTTCCGGATTTTAGTTCTAAATTTGGGTTTAGCCCACCGTACTTGATAGATTTGGTTCATCATCTTCTCCAATTCTTTTCTGATCGAAGAGACGACGACGAAACTAAATTATGATTACTGAGAGTGAACCATACAAGAAGAAAACGAGCTTTGTATTCGCATAAGGAGAAAAGGCGAGGGATGGGTTAGCGGCGGCTGTGGGTTTCTGACTCTCTTTTGTTATTATTCGCTTTCTGACTTCTTATTTAGTGTGTTGATTTTTGGGTCTACGTTATGATTTTCCCTTACTATACTACATGGATTTGGTTCATCATTTTTACCCATTCTTTCAGATTGAAGGAACGACGAGGGGAACTCGATGATGGCAGGAGAAAGTGGAAAAGGAGCGTTGGGTTTGCAGAGGGGAGAATAAGGATGATTAAGTTAGCGGAGTAGAAAGAAGGCAAAGCCAGGTAGTTCAAGTTTGGCGACTTCCTTTCAGTTTGACTGGGTGTTTGTGATAAGTCTTAGTTTGGTCAACATATGAGGACTTTCATGAATACAAAAAAGGCTAAGAGGAAGAAGAAGAAGCAACAGCAGAGAATTAATTTTCCCTCGTCAAATCCCCTGGTCGCAGTTTACAAAGACATAGAAGGCAAAGAGAACGGCAGTGGAAGGAGGAATAAGAAGACACACAAAATCGTAAAGGTGAAGAACTCTATTACGATTGTGAAGGAATAACAAAATCGACTTGGTGGTGACCTTCTCTCTTTGCTTCTGCTTTCTTATTTTTTTTGGTTTAATTTCTTGTGATTTATTCGCAGGTTAATGGCTTATGCCAGTTTTGGGTACTTACCTTCCAAATAGCACATTAGGAAGCTTTCACTTGCCGAGTTCAACTTATTAATCAAGTGCTTGCCATCAATGGTGGTTTGGATGTGTTTGGCTCCATTTTATATCTTCTAGACCTCGCGGTTTGTAACTCAAATAGCTTTCGGATTATTGAGTTCTTACGTTGCTATTATGTTTACCTGCACGATATGCATGATCACATAGAAATGGCCTTATTATCCGAGTTCTTATGCAGTGGCTGGTAACATTAATGTGGTCATTTCAGAAATGACAACTAACATTTAAGAGTAGCCAGAGGGTGATCGAGTCTCTATGCCAAGGAGGGGATATTCTCACTAAGACTCCACCCGAGCTGAACCAGATGATCAGTACCTTGGCTGCCCGCGATCATTCCTGGGGGCAGAGCAGCAGAGGCAGACAGTCCCGGGACCGTGGTGTGCACGATGTGGAGGTCAGGTCCGGTTTAGAGCAGCAGGTGGCTGAGTTGGTGCAGACATTGAAGCAGCCCAACAGTCTCCTTCCGGCCCGAGGTGTAGCTACGCCTCCAGTAGCTCAGTGTCAGTGGTGTGAGAGCCCGAACCACCTGGTGGAGGATTGTCAGTCTATGAGGGAGTCCTCTACTCCCCAAGAGCAGGTGGACTTCATCGCCAATGCTTAGTGCCTGGACCCATACAGCAATACCTAAAATGAGGGGTGGCGCCAGCATCCCAACTTCGCCTGGAGCAGCAACAACACCAAACCACCTGGTTTCCCAGCACCAGCGGGTGGTTTTCAGCAGAGGCAGCCCTTCCAGGCTAGGCAGGGGCCACCACCACAGCAGCAGCCCTACCAGCCTAGACAGGGGCAGCCATTCCAGCAGCCCCAGCGCCAGTATGCCCAGCCTCCAGCAGCCGCAACTCCAGATAATCAGATGGCTGATCTAAAGAATATTTTGCAGGCATTCATGACCACCAGCCAGGCGAATTTCACGAGGATGGATCAGAACATAGCCTCATTGGAGGCAAGCCAGAGAAACCAAGGTGCCATTCTGCAGGATCTACAGAATCAGATTGGAAGCTTAGCTCGCCAGAACACTACCTGCCACCACTCTGCCTGCCACCACTGTTCCCAACCACTGTTCCCAACCCTCGTGACCCTCTCCAGCAGCTTGACGCCATCAC